ACACGTCCTGTGCCAATGTAGAGGCCTGGCTGGAATGAGGTTTCTAACATTGAGCGAAGAAAAGCCAAATGCATGCAACTACATGCGGGAGCCACTGTCAAAGCTACTAAGTCTAATAAAAAAGACGCTGTAGACAAGGACAAATAACGTCCAACTCCAAATCTAATCTAAATAGTACTGTATTATTGACACAATCGAACGCCTTGGTCAAGTCACAGAAAATCGGTGCTACAGCTTCATTAAATTTAATTTTCAAAATGAGATGAGAAAATATCGCATCATTCTTGTTCTTTTAAAAACCAAATTGTTTCTTACGACTTTTTCAATAATTTTGGGCAGTGTAGGAATAATAGATACAGGCCTAAAGTTCGAAGGAACATAATTACAGTCGCCTTTATGTATAGTATAGTGACTTCAAAGTACGATTGTAGGTCGCCATTTTGATTACACTTTTCCACCACTCGAATTGCGTTCATCTGCCATATAGCAAAATAGTGTTTATGTCGTCTCTACCTTATTCTCGATGGTGCTGACTAATAAACATTAATATTAAATCGATTTATTTTCAATAAATTTTAAACAAAATTATTTAAAAAAAATTGTGATTTAGCAAGATCGTATAATCTATTACTTTTTTTATTGGACAAATATTAAGAACTAGTACACACTGTGCTGCAAATAGTACCGAAATAGTACGCAAATAGTACGCAAATAGTACGCAAATAGTACGCAAATAGTACGTAAATAGTACGCAAATAGTACGCAAATAGTGCGCAAATAGTACGCAAATAGTACGCAAATAGTACGCAAATAGTACGCAAATAGTACGCAAATAGTACGCAAATAGTACGCAAATAGTACGAAAATAGTACGAAAATAGTACGAAAATAGTACGCGAATAGTACGCGAATAGTACGCGAATAGTACGCAAATAGTACGCAAATAGTACGCAAATAGTACGCAAATAGTACACAAATCGTACGAAAATAGTATGCAAATAGTACGCAAATAGTACACTAATAGTACGCAAATAGTACGCAAATAGTACGCAAATAGTACGCAAATAGTACGCAAATAGTACGCAAATAGTACGCAAATAGTACGCAAATAGTACGCAAATAGTACGCAAATAGTACGCAAATAGTACGCAAATAGTACGCAAATAGTACGCAAATAGTACGAAAATATTACGCAAATAGTACGCAAATATTACGAAAATAGTACGCAGTTAGTACGCAAATAGTACGCAAATAGTAGACAAATAGTACGCAAATAGTAGGCAAATAATATTAAAATAGTAGGCAAATTGTACAAAAATAGTACACAAATTGTACATAAATAGTATAGAAATAGATTAGATAAAAAATGGTCGAAACTAATTAAAATTAAGTTGGTAACCTAAAAAAAGTAATTGCTAAATTTTTAATTAGGCAAATGGAAATACTACAGAACATTACACATTTCGGATCCGATAGTACAAAATAGTTTGTGCAGAATATTACACAAATATTACACATATCGTACATAAATAGTACGCCAAACATAGTACTCAAACAGTACACTAACTACAGAAATACTACACAAAATACACAAAAGATAGAAACAGTAGTACATGTAGTATAGATTGCTTGTACACCATAGTACAGCAGCGGTTTACCCCTAGATGTAGCTTTATCCTAACTTCTGTTAGTTTAACTTTTACAATTTTAAATACCTTTTTTATCTTTATAATATTAACACATTTCTATTTTAATATGTAGATAATATGTCTTAACTTTAACCGTAAATAGAATTCATGTTGGCAGCCTTCATTTAGTCAACATTTCTTCCCCCGCACAAGTTTAGCTTCAGAGTTCCCCATTAGGCATGTGCAGGGATGCTGTAATAGTGCTATTAACATGGGTTTTTATTGTCTTAAAATTGTTAGAAAGTTTTTTTAAAAATTGTATTATATTTTTAAATTAAATTATTTTATGATGACAGTCAAATTTATTGTAGGTAAGCACTGAAGATAGCTTGATGCACAAAGCATTCTGCTAGTTTTAATAAAAATGTTGTCACAAGATTTTCTTTTCTGATTCAAGCTGGGTGGATATAGCATCTTTTTGTTTCTATTAATTTTAAAAATAAAAATATTTCCATATGGTTCAGACAGTTTGCGACATATTGTATAATAAACTCCTAAATCATGCGGAAACAATAATGGAGAATCTATTGATGGAATTCTGTTTTTATATTTAGTCGAAAAATAATTGATTTTTTATTTTAGTTCAATATTCTGTTTTATTTTTTTTGCATATCAATCACTTTTTAAAACCGTACTTTTTCAACGTTTTACAGTACATATTGTTACGCAGCACCTTTTAACTCCCCCGTATTTTTTTGACATAAAGAAACTTGCTTTATCGATCTTAAAATCAAAAAGAACTATGCATTTTTAATTTTTTTTTATAATGAAATGAACTTTGTATCTTTTTTAGTTAACGAGCTATTATACAAAAAACGCATATAAAAATCAGTGGTGTGTCTAGGGCTTTGCTTGAGCCGTCCCTGCAAAAACTACCTCTTTTATTTATATTTTTATTTCTGAACTCTATAAAAAACAGTATAGAAACCCAATGCTATTGACGCAGCTATTGAATAGTAGAGATGTACCATGTGCTCAATGAGATGTACCATGTGCTCAATCACATAAGATAGAGAGTCGAGAGCTCCTTTCTTTATTTCGCTCACGTCTAAATATAATTAGGCGTCTCATTTTTATTTTTCTGAGCGAGCTGGTTAACATATTGACTGATGTCTAGAATTACAAGTATTCTTACACTTATATTTAAGAAACTATACATTTTTAATTATTTAATTTGTCATTAACATATTTTTTTTTAATTTGTTGTCATCGGCATCAACTACTAAGGTTATTAGCCTCGTGTTTTGTGTAGGCTTTGTTACGGTTTCCCAACGCCACTTTAGGAACAGCACTGTTAATTAGAACCCAACAGTAAATGGTTGAGTGGGGAATCCTACCAAGGCATCAGAATTAATTTTAAATAATTAAATTAAATGAAAAAATCCCAGCCAACGGTGGGACCCTTGGCTCCGCAGGCAGTGACTCTACCACTGAGCCACCCACCCCCCTATTAATATATTTATTTTAAAAACACACAGAACTAATTACATGTCCCTTATCTATAGATACAAATCAAAAAATACATACTATCTAATTAATTGGAGTTGAAATAAACAAACATCGCTACTATATAGGTTTTAACAAAGTTCTTGGAAAAATAAAAATACTAAAATAATCAGAAATAATCAGAGCGCTAGCAAACCCCACACCAAAGCCACCGAAATCCTACAAAGTCATATTACTTTGGTCGAAACCATCAATTTTCAACAATTTCCCTATACGTTTATGTGTTATGTAAAACAAAAGATTTTTTAATGGATCATGATGATCCGCACGAAAAGTTAATTGATGGGGGGGGAGGGGCGAATATCTGCGATTGGGACGTTGATTTTAAATTGACCTAATAAATACTGACTGTCCAAATATGTATTAAATAATTTATGTAAAAAGACGAGGTTTGTTATAGAGCGCCCATCTTTAAATTTTTCAATTTTAAACTATTTTTAATAGGTATAAATTGTTAATTGAATATGTCTTTCTTTGGTATTATTAAGTATATGCTTATCAAATTTGAAAATATTTTAAAAAACTATTCTGTAGTTATCCATTTTTGATACTACCTAAGGCATTGTTTGGATAAAATTTTTAGGATTACGAATTTTACTGAATGTAATTAGGTACCTTGCATTTGGAAATATTAAAAAGTAATTTGTTTTCTAATAACCAATTCGAAATTTAGTCATCTTGCAGTTTTAAAAAATAGTCATTTAGGGAGGATATTTTCTTATTATCTGCATACATGAGACATGAGAAAAATAATAGGAAAAGTGAGGGTCCTAAATTGGAGCTAAAGGGACCGCAGAGCCTACTAGGATATTATTAGATCAAGTTTCTCAGAACAAACCTTAACGCTGGCCATGCCTGCCCTAGCAACACCTTATATCGTAATAATAACATATTTGACATTAGACAATTATAATTTATAAACACTACCATTACTCAACATAAACATAAAGCAGAATTGCAAACTCTATGTAATACATATGCTATACTAGAAATAAAGACACATACATTACCATTTAGATATATTTCAAAAAACAATCGGACAAAAACAATATTCATATTTAGGTGCCAAAATGTTATTTATAACTTGTTGCCTTCTGAAATTAAGGTAGAGAGCAGTTCATATGTATTTAAAAAAAAGTTAAAAAATGTTTTTAATGTGCCACAAGATATTGTACATGATATATTATTAAACAATAAAAAAAATTTAATTTTGTTCTTATATTATCATCACTTGTGAATTTATGTATTTATTTATGATCACCACTCACAAATAAGCGTGTCTTACTACAAATAAACATTATTATCATCGTTGTCATACACTATACTGAAATATTCAGCGAACTCCTCTGCAGTGATTTTCCCTATTTCTCCATTTTTCACCCAAAAGCAAAAAAATAACTGTCAAAAATAATTCAGCAATTAAAAAAATTCCTCTCCCAATCTGTCCATCCTATACAGTCTATCCAGCCGTCAAAAACTCCAACCCGTACCGTTCCCGAACGTTTCATACATTGAAAACCGTATTGGACCACCGTATTTCTAAGCTCCACCCCTTACTAAAACTCTATTGGCCTGATTTTACCCTAAAACTTACGGTCTCCCCTATAGGAGCTTTACACAAAATGTGCTTTTATAAACGTACGTCTGTCGTCTCACTCTGACGCATCGATTCTTCCAATCGGCCACCTTTCTCTAGCATAAGGGGGTGGAAATCAAGCTGTTCGAAGGGGTAGGAATAATGCTCGACAATATTTCTACCCTACAGATAGGGTTTTTCACATTATCGGTTCAGATTTTCAAGCAGAAAGTCGTTCAGACTGAAAAGTTTTTTGTATAGCGTGCGTTTGAGTGTTTAAAAACAATTACAGTGGTAACCATGGAGATTTCTAAGTTAAAAAGTGAATTGAACTGTGATGAACAAACTCAAATTGTAGCGAAACCTGTAAAAAGGCCGTTCGACGTAGCTTTCTTAATGTTACCAGATGAAAAACTGAAACAGAAACAAAAATTACAAGCCATATATGACAATTCTTATAACAGTACTGAAGAAGATGAAGAAATCGACATTATGGATACGCCACGTGAGTACAAGAAGTTATATACGCATAAACTAGATCAATCCAGCTTAATAAAACCCAAAAACTTAGACGATTTACGTTCCAAATCATTAACCACATCCTCCAGTGAACAAAAAAGTGCTTTTACCAAAGTAAATTTAGGAAAAGACACTAGGCTGTCACCCGCTCTAAGCGTAAGTCCCGACTTGAACTACCAAAGCTCGCTATCACCATCGCCACCGATCATCAACAAGAGCTACCAAAACTTCTCGGGAATCCTAACACCTAATCAACTATTTAAAAACCAACAACTAGCATATCAACATCAATTTCTACAAGACAATTTCCATCACACCAGTCCAGCGAACCTAGAAAACAATTTTTTCAAATCGCAACCCGAACTTCTACAGCCGAATTTCGCTAAAATACGACCAATATATCGACCGGACTTGACGTACGGTTACCAGCAGTTCTCCAATCCTGAAATGTTGAAAATGGCACCTCCGGAGCTACGTAGTCCAGCCGCGGCTATCCTAACCTCACTTTTACCTCCGTCGTTGGCCGCTTTGAGTCTACCAGCGCAGAATATTTGCGCCAAATGTAATATTTCGTTCAGGATGACTTCGGATTTGGTTTACCATATGAGATCGCATCACAAAAACGAGACCGGGGACACTATTAGAAAGAAGAGGGAAGATAAATTGAAATGTCCCGTATGCGCTGAGTCCTTCAGGGAAAGGCATCATTTGACGAGGCATATGACGGCTCATCAGGATAAGGACGAGGACGAAGAGAAGGCTAGTAAGAAAGGGTTTTAAAGTTTGTTGATTTTGGTGTAATGCATGATTATTGGGTCTTGAGAATCTGTCAAAATTTATATGCAACTGAGAGAATGAGGGCGATATACAGGGTGTCACAAAAATTGTTTTTGATAATCCATAATCGAGCATTAAATTTTGTAAAATATAGACAATATACAGGAAAAATAAAAATAATGATTTATAATGAAGAGTAAATATGTATTTTTCAATATGGAGCAAAATAATAATTAAAATGTTGATAAGAATTAGAAAAATATGCTTAAATTTAAATGATTGTACTTGTTTTTGAATTACTTTATTCAATATATAATTCAAAATAAAAAAAAAACTAACTATGGCTGAAGTGTGTATTGGAAATTTTTTAATTTTACAAATTTTATGCTTGATTATGTATTTCCAAGATAATTCTTTTTTCAATCTCTATAAAACTTTTTGGGACACTCTGTATATTTTCTAATATACGGTTTAGTTAGATAATACCAACCAAATTTTATACAATTTATATCATACAGTGTGTCACAAAAGAATAACAGGAAGATCATTCTTATTTTTGGTTTATACGTATCAACGGCAATTTTTTAGGTTATTTCTATGTTCTAAAATGTTCACAGACCTACATACAGGGTAGCCCATTACTATGGCAAATTTAATATTGCTCTTATCATAATAAATATTAGAAAATGTTTTAAACATAAGTTATAAGGTTAAACTTTTTACATATTTATAAAATACTGTGAAATGTACAGGATGTTCCGTTACATCGAGACAGTTTAAATAGCGATTTTTTAAATTACCTACCTTATTTATTTTTTTACTATTGTCTTCAGCTTGCAAACAATTTTACAATAAATAGTAAGTTGCTTTATTGCAAAAAAGTGATTGAAAAGTTAGTTAAAATATTTGGTATTAAAGATAAGAGTTAGCTGAAAAGTCTGAGAGGATCGAAAGTTCATTTTGCTATTCTTTACTCAAAATTATATTATTTTACTAATTGTTTTTGTAATGTAGGCCCTACAACTGACAGTTTTTGATTTTTTAATAATTGATAGCTTAAAAATAATAAGAAAAATTGAATTTCCTCGCACAAATGGGTTACCCTGTATATAATAATATCGATAATAATTAAATCAAATATTCCACAATGTTTTTTATAAATATTTAGGCCATATTACTAGCAAATTTAATCTACTGGCGAAAATTGGTCAAAAGAATAAAATTATAATTTGATCTAAAAAAAATTGAATGAGGTTTCCAAACAATACTGAATTTGAATTAAGGTATCATAACAAAGTAATATATTATTGATATACATTTTGGTAAGTGGAATTTCTGAATGTTTCTCTTTTTTAATACATCTTCAGGTACTTAATTTATCTACGTTATAAGAGAATAATAATATGTAGAAATTACTCTATCGAATGATTACTTTACCACCACGCACACCTGATTTGATCCCAGTGGACTTTTTTTAGTAATTCTGTTAATTAGTCGAATTTATCTTAAATATTTCGAATTTATTTCAATTACGTTATATACAGGAAAAAAATTGTTTAAATTTTTTTATACTGTATATTAACGAATTTATTTATAAGATGTCAGTTAATTTGTTCTTAAAATATAGGGCAACCAACTAAAAAAATATCCACTTCATAAATCTATAAGAATTGAGAAATATTTTTCTTTTTTGTGCCACACTGTATCGTTGAGGTATCCATTTTAAAACATCATAAATTAACATTGGAATAATGGTATTCATTTGTAATTTTTTTGACATATCCCATCTATGTTTTTATTTTAAATATTTGAATAATTTTAAGACAGATGTTTAGATTGAAAAAATAAGAATTAATAATATATAAAATGTCAAATATGGGAAATTACCTATACAGAACCGAACTATACAATTTTATTGCAATTTTTCAATGTTTTCTTTTATTTAATATACCTGATACATTGTTTTTTTTTTCAAATGAATTGAACTAAAAATTATTTTATTTTCTTATTGATAGTCTTGATATTAAAAATTATAATGATATCCTGAATAGATACCTCAACTGTTTTTGGTTTTATAACATATATGGTTCTGTAAAATACTGATAGAATGGACAACTGAGCATATTGTTCTCTCTCCTCGATAATAATTGACCCTTCTAAGATTCCAAAAAATGCATTTTGTAAAAATCTGGATACAATATTCCTATTTCACCCTGTATATATTAGTGTTAGTTGTTATTTATTTGTATTATGATTATAATGAGATATTTTGTTCTAGTCGATTTTGATGAAAGTGTATCAAAAAGCAATTAATTACTAAATAAATATTGTAAATAGTGTATATTTCAATGTAGATATCGTTTATTTGTTGATTTTTGTTAATTATATGTGCAATATTCAACTGATTTTAATAAAAGTTATATGAAATAATTATTATTTGTGTTTTATTACCTTAAAAAAATATATAGTAAAATTGTTTCTCCAAAAAAGGTGTGTACCTACATGTAACTACAGTATAGAAGGGAAGAAATTTTACTCAAAAAAAAGACCCCTAAGACCTAATCACTCATTTGATAAACAGCTAAAATTAACTTGAATATTTTGTAGTCTTCAATAAATAAACCTTCATCAAATGCAATTCTATAGAGGAATAAATTAAACAAAAATAATTGTGGGCAAGAGTACTTCTTTCCACCACAAGACAAAAATACCCACCTTAAATTAAATCTGAATAAAATAGGGGGCCAAATGGGGGTTGAAATAAAAAAATATAAATTAAAAACCAAAAGCGATATCATTTCTAGTAATAATCAAGCTCTATAAGGGCCTATTGATTCTGAAAAAAAAAATCTGAATAAAAATGGGGGATAAGGAAGGTTGAAAATTTAAAAAAAATCCTAACTCAAAAACAAAAACGACATTTATTTGAAAACTTCAGGAAAAATCAACTTTTTAAGGGGATGAAGCCTATTAATTCTGAAAAAAATCTAACTGTAAATAAAGGTTAAGGAGGGTCTGTTAAACTGTGAAGATTATAATATAGAATGCCAAGCATTATATTTATTCTAGTTATTACTTCGGGACGACTTAATTGATAGTTAAGGAGGGTCTGTTAAACTGTGAAGATTATAATATAGAATGTCAAGCATTATATTTATTCTAGTTATTACTTCGGGACGACTTAAAGATGATTGGTAGTTCCATTTGACTTGCAGGTGAGGAAAATCCGGAAAACTTCACCCATCATCATCGAAACTCATCAAAACTTATAACGAGCCATGCAAATTAATTAAAAATTCACATAATCTGCTGTAGGATTCGAAGCCGTGTATCTCTCAACCACAAAATTGGCTGTAAGTGAATACAAGCATGTGACAATAGTAAATAATACATTATTTTTGCCTTCTTCTTAATATTTTTCGTATTAGCTGACTTCAGTTAAACTGTATATCATAATAATATATTATTTCTGCTAATAATCCTAGTTGACCTCTGTTAAACTATAAAAGAGAAAATTTTAAACCTATCACACTTTTTAGACCCGTTTTACTTAATATCCTATTAGTGAATATTATTTAATTTTTTAAGTGTTTTGGTATTTTTCAAACAACCTATTATACCTATTGTTTTTTTTACTTAAGGAAGGGATCACACAAGACAGGCATATTAGCTCAATGCGAAGTCATGGTAGGGGAAGCAAAAGCGATACTAGCGCTAGCTGCGGATAATTCGTGCATTTTATGGCGATATTTGGTCATTTTGGCATATCAAATACACGTATACATTTTACTTTTTTTTTTTTTTTTCAAAAAACTAGGTAAAAACAATACAGTAAGCAACCGGAGTTGCTGTTTTAAAAATTGTAAAAATACTAGCAAAAAAACTGTAAATTTTAAAAATGTTTAGTAGCAAAGTGAAAATTAAATCAAAGAAATAAATGGATATGTGTAGAATAAGAAGAAAGATTACCTTTTTTTTGTAATAATAACAGTAATACTAGAAATACTGATAGGAAACCAGGTTTAATCATTCATTCTATGTTTTCTTTCGAACAAAAATGAAAATATAAATAACAACCCTTCTCTTTATACATTTTGACTTCACGCTATTATTTAAAGGTATTTTTTTATTTTGACAGAATAGGTTAATTCTTCAAAGACAGCTTATTAGACTTAGGCAACTTGTCATACATTTTCCCGTAATTACTGTTGCCTGCCTTTATCTTATTATTGATTTTTATTGAATACACTTAATTCTTTTTAATTTAAGCGATAAAAATATATAATAATAAATTAATGTTTTACTTATTTTACAAATCCATATACTTTTATTAAAACTAACATATATACTTTTTAATTACGAATTCTATTAAAAATTGTATTGTCAGTATAGGCAAAAAATAGTCCATTAGTAGAAATGCATAGCGAATATGCATAGAACAAGTAAAAACTTGTAGGTAATAATAATAATTTAATGTAATATAATAGTAGTGCTGTAATATATGTATTTGGTATTTGATTTCACTTATTTACTCTTAAGGACTAATTTTGAATAACCATGATTTTGATAAATGTAGTATAGTAGAATGGACACGATACTATAATACAGGGACATATAGTAATATGATTATTTAATAATTAATGCTTAAGTATTCAAATCAAATTCTATATAAAAAAGTCGTAACCACGAATATGAAAACTTGAGAATTGATATATTATCTGTACTGCTCAAATAAAACTTCATATCTCTGACCTCACAAATTTATTATAGACATTTTGAAAGTGTGTATCATAATAAATCCATCAATATTGTAAACTTATTCCTTAGATAAAAGAGACCTGAGATATAACATACACCGGTGTTTAACCTGCGCAAATGTTGCCGAGAGTGGGATAACTGGGCGGAAAGCATATTTACACATCCTCCTATATGACGGCACCGGAGTGCTGAAATCTGTTCGCCTTTATAACCTACAAGTACGCTACAAAAGCTCATTGATTTAGGCACCAATGCATGAGGCCTCTCTTATTGCTGGAATCAGTAAGCAAGCTTATCTGCATTCTATAAAACAATGGCTGTACTTAAACTGCCGTTAAACGGTCGTGTACTAAAATGCCGTTAATAGACATGATGTCATTCAAATGACGCATTTGAAGTGTTTTGGGATTAAACAAAAAAGAAAATATACAAGAAGAAA